GAAGTATGTAAAGTGAAAGTAGTCAGTGTACAGAATGGCCTCTGTCAGTGTTGTATTATTATATTAGTGGATGATTATTATTGATGCATTAACATGTAATCACTACTTTAATGTTGGAGTTGCTGCAGGTGGAGCCAATATGAACTACTTCAAATACTTTTGGCTGCTTGAATGTAAAATAATGAATTCTATTTTATAAACTGATCCCATGTTTGAAAAGTAAGCAGGAAGTAAAGCTGTCAGATAAATGCAGCTCCATGAGGCCATCTAGTGGACTGATAGTAGAAGTAGAGCAGCTGATGGCAGCTTTCTGCTCTCATTCTTCCTCAACACTGACCAATGAGAACCAGCAGCATCTCCTCTGGCCAATAACAAACCACTATTGATCCATGTATTGATTAGTTTGCAATGTGTGACAGTGATGAGAAAAGGCCATCAGTAGTTCCCAGAGTTCACAGTCATGTTTTCTAACTGCTTCTTTAGTCTGAGCAACAGTCCAACAAGCCAAAGGGATTCAACTGACACTGAGAGGAAACAGAGAGAAGCAGCCAATCAGTGGAGAAGCAGCTGATAGTTTTACAGGAGAAAAGTTCCCTGAAAAGGAAATAATCTGCTCAGAATTCATCCAAATCAACTTTATCTTCTTGCAGTTACTGAGTTCAATATTTGGGTTGATTGTACAGTTTTGGATATAATATGAAATATGTATAAAATATGTCCCTCAGTCAGGGGTCGTCAGTTTACTCAGTGATAGAAAAAGGTTGGGAACCACTGATGTAAAGGATGAATGAGTGATGATGAGTTCTCAGTGCTGATCAGTGATTGGACTGATGCTTTCAGCTCTGCTCTCAGTGTTTCCTCTACAGATGAAGGTAGAAAGTCTCTGGGAGCTGATGTGGATGTGAATTCAGCAGCAGCTGCCAAGGTAACAGGATGGATTTTGGATTATTGGACTAGCTGCCACTGCATGCTCTGACTGGATATAGTAGACTTGGAAAAAGAGCAACATTTCAACTGTTGAGGAGCTTTTCAAAGTCAGTCAAATAGAAGTGAAACAGCAACATGAAGTGTATTCCTCTAGTCTTCAACCAACCCCACAGACTAAAGAGCATTGTGAATGTCATTTCTTAGATACTGCAGCTCAAAGTGCCAACAACATTTCTACTCTGCATGGAAACTGTCAGATGAGTGGATTTAGTATTGAGCTGAATGAGCCGTTTCCTCCAATCAGAGCTGTGTGTGTTTGTCATGTGACTGAGAGGAATGATGGGAAATAATGTGTGATATCTCCCAGCAGGTTGCTGTGTCTGTGTGAAGGTGTGGGCTCTGCTATGAATCAGTGTGAGGACAGAGAGGAGGGAGTCCCTCCCTCTAAAAGCACTCTGTGTGGGGAACATGACACAAGGACCAAAGCTCAGAGGTGAGATGAGGATCTCTAACTGTCCATGACTCTTCTCCATGTCACAAAGGCTTTGATTCTCCATTTGAAACAAAGACATTTATCTGAGCTAAAGTACGTAGTTGTCAGTATTCAAACAGGGCTGGACAATCTGATCTCAAATCAGTATCAGGAGAAACATTCAGCTTCATAATGAGAAATGTAACAGTAACATGTGTTTGAATCAATCAGAGCAGATTTCCTTCCTCATGTTGCTCACTGCTGGTGTTTGTCCTGATTCATTCCAGTCTGACCAGTTCCACATTCTGCTCTTCTGGACTGGACTGGGAGCTGATTGCTCGCTGGTTAGATGTTGTAGCTGCTCTCACTTTAATTATATGGAATTCAGACAGTGTGTTGAAGTGTGTGACATCAGTAAATTGTGTTCAGTAACACGTCCATAATGTCAGTAATTGAAGACATTGTTCTTATTGTCCAGCCCTGTATTCAAACATTTCAAATTATACATCATTTCACAAAGTCTTTGATTCAGTGACAATGTTTCTGAATATGTGAGCTTTAATGAATTTCTTTCTATCAGGATCCATCAGAGACCAGACTGTCCTGAACCTGAACCCAGCTGTGTGTCCATGAAGAGTGATCGCTCTACGGGTCGTCTTATAGACTTCAAAGATGGCCGCCACTCTGTTGATCAAAGGTGAGGATTTCAAACTGATGATGAAAATAAAATGATGTGTTTTTATCAGACTCTCAGCTGTGAAATCTCTATTTTTAAATGTTTTAAAATGTCTTTTAATGGACGGTGATGGTTTGTGTCAATTTACAACAGCCTCAGTTTCACAGTGAACAAATAGTTGCAGCAGTTTATAGAAACTCACTGCTTTGACACCTCGTCTGTTCCTCTTTTTATCCTAATTGGACCGATATGGTCACTCCACTCCATCATTTCCCCGCCTATACTGCACACTGCACTGAATACAGCTTTAAATACACAGTGAAACATGTCTAAATCAAACACTGACTTTATAGAAATCCTAACCAAGAACTCCCTGGGTACAAATACACTGTGTACAGTCGGTGTATTCAGTCACTGGTTCTGTCTCAGTGTGTTGTGGGTGCAGTGCAGAACTGATCCTGTTTTTCTATCAGGAGGAAACAACCTGAACCCAGCTGTGTGTCCATGAAGAGTGACCGCTCAACGGGTCGTCTTATAGACTTCAAAGATGGCCGCCACTCTGTTGATCAAAGGTGAGGATTTCAAACTGATGATGAAAACAAAATGATGTGTCTTTATCAGACTCTCAGTTGTCAGATATCCAGTTTTTAAACCTTTACTGACTCAGATGAAGTTCTCTGAGCACCAACACTCTTTTCCAGCAGCAGCTGCCTCACACTCACACAGTCAAACACATTCACACTGGGAGCTGCCCAGTACAACCAGTCTGATACAAGCAGACACTGAGCAGCTCCACTGGAGCAGCTGGAGGCTCTAGGTGCCTTGCTCCAGGGCACTTCAGCAGTGTACAGTGAGGGAGGGAGAGCTAAATGGAGGGGTTGGTGAGAGCTGTTGGGACTGAACCAAACTGATCTGTTGATTCTCAGTGGGATCAGCAGGACTAGTAAACCTTTACCACTACAGGGAGTCATCAGATTCACTGTTCACATCCAAATATCACTTCATGGACCTTTACCTTGTGTTTGTCTCTGTGTGGACAGACATAATGTGAGCTCATTCTTCATGATTCCTCCACAGAGTGGACCAGGAGAGCTCAGAGGTTCCCAGTGGTCAGTCTGCCCAGCAGCATCAAACACACCTGGACTCCATATTTATGGTCTGTACATGGACAACAACTACTTTTACATCAATTGTGTTCACAATAATCTCCATGCTGCACTTTTTAGACCAGTGGATTGTCAGTCTGTCCAACATGGATCTGATGTTTGCTTCCAATATTCTGTTCCAGCTGCTGGAGGATAACATTGTCACTTTTGTGAAGAACGAGCTGAAGAAGATCCAGAAGGTTCTGAGTTCAGATTACCCAGAATGCTTGGAGAGTCAGAGGGAGGATGAGGAGAGGTTGGATGGTACAGATGAAGAGCAGAGGAGGAGCAGCAGAGAGGCATTTCTGAAGATCACACTGCACTTCCTGAGGAGAATGAAGCAGGAGGAGCTGGCTGACTGTCTGCAGAGCAGTAAGAGGATTTCTCTAAAGATTTAATTCGTTGGATGAATGAGACATTTACTGATGTCTCAACAGACGGACCAAAATATATTCACATACTTATTCTTTAACACCAAAATTGGGCACGACTCAAATTCCAAAATTAAACTGCAAAACAATGCCATGATAATTTATCATTTTTTTTAAAAGGAGGTTAATGATATATTAAGTTATAAAAACAGGGAATGGTCCTTTTCTTCTGACGTATGCTGCTATTACTAATGCTGTAGTGTGTGAAGGCCGCCGTACCAACATCCCTTGCACAGGTTTTTACCTAAAATGCATTGTCAGTATCAGAGGTTTGACAAAGAGATCTTCGTAAGGCATAGCAAAATCTACATGGATGTGAGCAAGAATTACTACATACTTCTACCACCGTCTTTAGAACCCCTTCCCCTCAATGAAATGAGTCGAGGTAGTGAGTTAGCCCCCAGAAGTTTTAAAGCCCCTGAGTTTGGGTCTTGGACAGAAAACTACTTTTTTATTTTCTCTCTCAAGCTGAAAAAGTGTTGGCATCCCTACTTTAGTGGAATGAAATTGTCATACGGATATATTTAATGCATCACCTAATGTTGTTCTTTTCTGTATCTTCATTGAGGACATCTTGTTGGAGTCTGTCAGCGTGAACTTAAATCTAACCTGAAGAAGAAGTTCCAGTGTGTGTTTGAGGGGATTGCTAAAGCAGGAAACCCAACCCTTCTGAACCAGATCTACACAGAGCTCTACATCACAGAGGGAGGGACTGCAGAGCTCAATGATGAACATGAGGTCAGACAGATTGAAACAGCATCCAGGAGACCAGACAGACCAGAAACAACAATAACACAAGAAGACATCTTTAAAGCCTCACCTGGAAGAGATGAACCAATCAGAACAGTGATGACAAAGGGAGTGGCTGGCATTGGGAAAACAGTCTTAACACAGAAGTTCACTCTAGACTGGGCTGAAGACAAAGCCAACCAGGACATACAGTTCACATTTCCATTCACTTTCAGAGAGCTGAATGTGCTGAAAGAGAAAAAGTACAGCTTGGTGGAACTTGTTCATCACTTCTTTACTGAAACCAAAGAAGCAGGAATCTGCAGGTTTGAAGAGTTCCAGGTTGTGTTCCTCTTTGACGGTCTGGATGAGTGTCGACTTTCTCTGGACTTCCACAACACTGAGATCCTGACTGATGTTACAGAGTCCACCTCAGTGGATGTGCTGCTGACAAACCTCATCAGGGGAAAACTGCTTCCATCATCTCGCCTCTGGATAACCACACGACCTGCGGCAGCCAATCAGATCCCTCCTGAGTGTGTTGACATGGTGACAGAGGTCAGAGGGTTCACTGACCCACAAAAGGAGGAGTACTTCAGGAAGAGGTTCACAGATCAGGAGCAGACCAGCAGAATCATCTCCCACATCAAGACATCACGAAGCGTCCACATCATGTGCCACATCCCAGTCTTCTGCTGGATCACTGCTACAGTTCTGGAGGATGTGTTGAAGACCAGAAAGAGAGGAGAGCTGCCCAAGACCCTGACTGAGATGTACATCCACTTCATGGTGGTTCAGTCCAAACTGAAGAATCTCAAGTATGATGGAGGAGCTGAGACAGATCCACACTGGAGTCCAGACAGCAGGAAGATGATTGAGTCTCTGGGAAAACTGGCTTTTGAGCAGCTGCAGAAAGGCAACCTGATCTTCTATGAATCAGACCTGACAGAGTGTGGCATCGATATCAGAGCAGCCTCAGTGTACTCAGGAGTGTTCACACAGATCTTTAAAGAGGAGAGAGGACTGTACCAGGACAAGGTCTTCTGCTTCGTCCATCTGAGTGTTCAGGAGTTTCTGGCTGCTCTTCATGTCCATCTGACATTCATCAACTCTGGAGTCAATCTGCTGGCAGAAGAAAAAACAATATCTCTAAAGTCCAAATTATTTAAGGACAAACTGAATCTAAAACAACTCTACCAGAGTGCTGTGGACAAGGCCTTACAGAGCCCAAATGGACACCTGGACTTGTTCCTCCGCTTCCTCCTGGGCCTTTCACTGCAGACCAATCAGAATCTCCTACAAGGCCTGCTGACACAGACAGGAAGTAGCTCACAGACCAATCAGAAAACAGTTCAGTACATCAAGAAGAAGATCGAAGAGACTCCCTCTGCAGAGAGAAGCATCAATCTGTTCCACTGTCTGAATGAACTGAATGATCGTTCTCTAGTGGATCAGATCCAACAGTCCCTGAGTTCAGGAAGTCTCTCCACAGATAAACTGTCTCCTGCTCAGTGGTCAGCTCTGGTCTTCATCTTACTGTCATCAGGAAAAGATCTCGACGTGTTTGACCTGAAGAAATACTCTGCTTCAGAGGAGGCTCTCCTGAGGCTGCTGCCAGTGGTCAAAGCCTCCAACAAAGCTCTGTAAGTACAGACAGAGTTGGATTTCTGTATTATTACTTAAATACTCTGCTATCTTTTCTGTTAACTGCTTGTTTTTCATTATGAATGTTTTAACAAAACAAATGTTTGTTTTTTCATTGTTGATCATTGTCTCTACAGACTGAGTGGCTGTAACCTCTCAGAGAGAAGTTGTGAAGCTCTGTCCTCAGTTCTCAGCTCCCAGTCCTCTAGTCTGAGAGAGCTGGACCTGAGTAACAACAACCTGCAGGATTCAGGACTGAAGCTGCTGTCTGTGGGACTGAAGAGTCCACACTGTACACTGGAAACTCTCAGGTCAGATCATAGTATAGTTAATCTTTAGTTAAAGGAAGGTAAATATCAGCCCAAGGACCAATTGACCCCTCTGACAAAATCTTTTACTTTCATAGCTTACTGGCAGCGGGCACATGAACAATAATAATGCAACTGCATAATATTGTAAAAACATTAAAGGTGATTCATATTTGCTACCAACCAGGACTGCATTCTTACAGACTTTAACCATCACTCCTCAGTGAGCTGCCTCCTTGGTGGAGGTCTGAAAGTATTTTTTAGTATCTAGTTATCATTATGGATTCTAATGTTTTTAATCTGTTCACATTGATATAGACTAATAAAAATAACATCAGTTTATTTAAGAGGATATATTAACAATATTTTCATAGTCCGGCCCCCACAGGGTTTGCTTAGACAAATTCTGGACTTTGGACAAATGCAGTTGAGTAGCCCTGGTACACATCAAATCTGTAACTAGAATACTTTTGTAAACCTCAAAAAAACATGTTTGATATTTGATTGAATCTGAACTTCCAATGAACGGCTTGAGGAGGAAAGAGAGGACTTTGGTAGCCTGAGTCTGAGAGACAGCTGTAGGGGAAAGGAGGGAGGACAGGAGACCAAAACCAGACCAAAACAGAAGATAAAAGATCTGGAGACCTCTGTTCTTCAGATTGAGAATTAGAGATAGAAAAGCACAGAGAAAAAGGTGCAATGCAAGAACTATACTAGTAGAAATGACAATGACGACGAAGACTACAATAGCCACAGAGATGAACAACAAGAATAACAACAACAACAAAAATAATAATAATAATAATAATAATAATAATAATAATAATAATAATAATAATATTAATATTAATAATAATAATGGCAGTGGAGGTCAAGCAGGACCACAGCAGCAGGAACCACCAGGATCAACACACAACACACTGCAACACAAGAAAGCACATTTCTTTACTGGTTTCCAAAGTAGATTTTAAACCCAGCACTTGACAAAGGCTGGTTTTTAACCACTGTGTCATCTGTTTACAACCATAGAACATAGAGCTTGTCAGGTATGATCCCTTGAATATCTTATCATTTCTTCATGTTGATCATTGTCTCTACAGACTGAGTGACTGTAACCTCTCAGAGAGAAGCTGTGAAGCTCTGTCCTCAGTTCTCAGCTCCCAGTCCTCTAGTCTGAGAGAGCTGGACCTGAGTAACAACAACCTGCAGGATTCAGGACTGAAGCTGCTGAATGTGGGACTGGAGAGTCCACACTGCACACTGGGAATCCTCAGGTCAGGATTCATTAATCTGTTCTTTCTATCCTCATATTTTAGAGTAGTTTTATTTTGCCTCTGCTGCTGGAACCTGACATACCAAAGAGGAATTTTAGGAGTCAAGAACTGTGTAACTGACCCAAAGTAAAACTCATACAGTCAGTTATTCAATGAACAGTTTCTGTGGTAGAGTTTCTTTATTTGATGATGGAGACTGTTACTCAGCATGGTGATGTGTCAGTTTTATTTGAATCAACCAGAGTTAACAACCACTGACTCATCACACTGTTATAAAATATTCCATCACAAAGACGACTGACTGGAGCTGCTCATCAGCTGGAACCATCAAACACTAATGTTCCCCAACTGGGAGGAAACAACTTGTCAGTAGTTGAAAAATGATTGTGTAAAAACAAAGTTTATCTTTGTCAGGTAACTGTTTACACAGATTTGTCTTCTATTCAGAACAGGACATAAGGAGATTAATAAATAAACAGATGAATAGTTATATTTTCCTATAAACATAAAAAGTAAAAATAATGAGTCGTAGCCATCGGCCAATAAGAAGACTCTTCCCTGGAATGAAGATAAGTATTAATTAGTTAGTTTAATTCCCACTGACAGTAAAGATAATCATTATCATTATATATGATTCATAATTATTGAATGCACAAGAAGACTCAATGCAACAGATGATGTATACAGAGTGTAGCTGAAGCTCATTTGCAGCCCCCAGCATTATTTTCAATTCAGGTTCAAACAACTGAACAAAGAAATGTTTAACACAGACTGTGTGTGTGTGTGTGTGTGTGCGTGTGTGCGTGTGTGTGTGTGTGTTTACTATCAGCTGATTAATAATAAGTGCTCCATGTGAAGATGTAAGTCCATTTGTAGAGAATAAGCTCTGTGTATGAGAGCGATGTAATGTCCATGTTTCCATGCTGCTCTGACCCCCCTCCTCCTTTCAGGGTGGAGCCTGCTGGAGTCCGATGGTTGAGACCAGGTCTGAGGAAGTGTAAGTGTGAAAACAAAGCAGCACACATTCAACCATCTTCACACTGTGACATCACTCATTCACAGCTCTGATGTCATCATCAAAGTGTCAATTAATGATCAGATGATAGATCAATAACTGCAGCTGTATTGTGTCTTGTTCTCTCCATCAGATTCCTGTGAACTCACAGTCGACACAAACACAGTGAACAGAAAGATCAAACTGTCTGACAACAACAGGAAGATGACATTAGTGAAGGAGGATCAGTCATATCCTGATCATCCAGACAGATTTGACTGTCCTCAACTGCTGTGTAGAAATGTTCTGACTGGTCGCTGTTACTGGGAGGTCGAGTGGAGAGGAGGAGTTTATATATCAGTGAGTTACAGAGGAATCAGCAGGAGAGGAAACAGTAGAAACTGTGTGTTTGGAGGGAATGATCAGTCCTGGAGTCTGGAGTTCTCTGATGATGGTTACTATGTCTGTCACAATAACAGAAAAACATTCATCTCCTCCTCCTCCTCCTCCTCCTCCTCCTCCTCCTCCTCCTCCTCCTCCTCTGGTAGAGTAGCAGTGTATGTGGACTGTCCTGCTGGCACTCTGTCCTTCTACACAGTCTCCTCTGACACACTGATCCACCTCCACACCTTCAACACCACATTCACTGAACCTCTTTATCCTGGGTTCAGGTTCTGGCTTAGGTTCAGCTCTGGTTCCTCAGTGTCTCTGTGTCCTCTGTAGGAGGGAGAGAGAAACTTTCTCACTGCTGACCAGATAGTTCAGACTGTACAGGATCACACACAGCTGATGTTAGTTAGTACCAACCTGATGTGTTTACTGTAATAGAGGAGGAAGAGGAGGCTGAAGGAAGAGAAGAGCAAAGATGCTGGGATGAAGGGATCCTGTGTGAGGGTAATGTGCAGCCTGCAGACGTAGAGATAAAGAAATGATAGAAAGAATTGATCTTCTTCTATAACTCTGAGAAAAATGAACATTTTTAGGATCAAATGTGGCTGCTTGTTTTTCACATCTTCTTCTTTTTGAAAGCACAGTTAGAGGGAAAGTGTTTTTATGACTCAAATATTAAAGTGTGAACAAATATTCACCTTTGAGTCTAAAACTGAACTTTGTTGCCTTAAAACTTTTGTTTCTGTGAAGAAAAAATGTGTTCAAATGTCAAACAAGAGTCTTTCAGGATCAAATTCAGCATCTGTGTAAAAATAGTTCCAAGGTGTAAAGAGTGGCTTTGATTGGAACAAACTAAATTCATCATCTTTGGTCATCATGGAACAAATGTACAAACTTTGATAAGTCAGGTTGATTTTCTACTCTAAGAACAAGAAAGCTTATAAAACCTTGAATTTCTTACTTTATTCAGTTTATTATTATTTTATTTTTTTATTAGTCAAATCTGACGTTTACTGTCAAATAAAACTTTATATGTTTGTCTTCTTTCATAAATGTAGTGAAAACATGTTAAACATCTGCTGCTCATCTTTTCAGGTAAGACTCAGACTTCAGGCTGTGTCCCTGCTCTCTTTAAAGTAGTAATACAACCAATCCTACAAATATACTGTGTTTTTATATCAGTGGAACAAAAAGGCTCTATATGTGTGCAGTTTGATCTAAATCCAAAGGGAAATATGCTTTGCCTGTGTAGCAGTTATGGATACAAAGCCTTCGATCTGGTGATCCCTTTCCTGAAGCTCTGACTTGAGGCGGTGGATATTCTCCCTTAGCTGTGAGTACTGAAGTTTACAGTCTGCACATACAGCCATTATGGTATAATTCAGTCCAAAAGTAACTCATAAAACAACACAATGGGAAACATGAAGATAAAAGTAAAATGAGTAAAAGAATTGTGTTAAAAATATGATTTGTCAAGCGGAGTGGTGCTCCTGGACGTGTGCTCTCTTGGCGTCCGGAAATCAGATCAAAGGTTGATTTCTATTTGACAATAATACTAAGTTACAGACAGACAGATACAGGATAGAAGTCAGTGCTGTATATATGGGACATTACAGTGCATATGTAAGAGCTGTAGAAGAATTTCCTGTGAATTCTTTCAGAATAGAATACAGCCACCAAAATAAAGTCCCTAACTTCCTGTCTGTGTTCCAGTGTGCAGCAGCAGAATGAAACACACTTATAGTGTATAGTATAGTATAGTTATAGACTGTAACACAGTCCTATAAAGTCCAGAGAAGAAGAGACAGAATCTCTTTCTGGGTGAATCTGTAGTTCCAGATGTTCCAGATGTGAAGCTGCTTTCACCCCCAAAGACAAAGACAGCTGTTTAACACAGGAAATAACAAACTACTGAGCAGAGCTGACATGATGTAACATCAGGACCAATGATCTCTACCTGTTGATATCTGGATGATTTCCAAACACTGAAAACAGTCTGTAATCTGTTTCACTTCAACTGACAGGATGCACTTTATGTTTGTGACACCAGAGGGAGCCAAATCCTCCTCCATGACGAGGAGCACTCCTCATTTAAAGGAGATCTCAGCTCCATTATTCAGTCATTGTTCTCCAGAACAATCAGCAGTGACTCATTCACATGTGACACATTTCTGTCTCTGTTCCAATGTGTCGTCCATTTCACTGCTGGAAAGGAACCGAGTACATTTACTCAACTACTGCACTGTACTACAGTACTTGTACTTTCCTCTCTACTTGTACTGCACTACATCTCAGAGAGACAGCTTGTACTTTTTACTCCACTACATTTATCTGACAGCTTCAGTTACTTTACAAATCAAAGTCTCTGCACACCCACACAGCTGTTTTCACTCACTGGCTGATTAGACCTCTAGTCAGGAGGAAGTTGGGTGGAGCTGTGCTGGGAATTATGGGATGTCACCAAACTACCTGCACTAACTGGGTGAGTTGCCCCGCCCCCAACAGGTTCAACCACAACAACAACAACAAAGTGATGGATAAAAAACACTCTCAGGTCGGTCTCTGTTGTCTTCATAAATGTATTTATTTAAGTTCTGGACAGGAAGTCAGACTCACATTGTCTTGGGGCCACTGCAACGTTCAAGTGTTACAGGAAAGCAGAGAGTAGAGAGTATTTCCATTACTAACATTATACAGCAGTTTCTGTACAGTTTATATCATCATGAAGGTCATTTACAGGCACATTTGACCTTTGACCTGTGCCAGTAATTTCTACCAAAGCAAATACATTTTCACAAATATAAATTATTTTTTTAAATTGTACGTGATGTTGGCGTTCAAATTGCTAACAAACAACTCAAAACAATAAATAATTCAGTTCCGTTTTATTTGTATGGCACCAAATCCCAACAGAAGTTATCTCAGGACCTTTTCAAACAGAGCAGGTCTACACCGTACTCCTTATGAAATCATACAAATCTTGCAAGTCTTGTGGCCGGATTATATTCTATTTTTTAATAGGGCGGTGGATGTAGGGCCAGAAATGGCCCCTGGGCCGGCAGTTTAAGACCCCTCTTGTAGAAAGTTTCCTCTGACTCAACACATCAAAAACTGTGATTTTTAAAGAGAGTCTGAGGATTTTCTCCCCAGGTAACAAAGCAGTATATTGTTAACTGTATTATTAATTAAAGTTCTGGGCAGGAAGTCAGACTCTGGTTTCTGCTTGATCCTCTTCCCCAGTAGTCCAGATAGAAGAGAAATCCAGGACTCAAAGAGGGGCGAGTACGACTCCTCTGAACTATCAGAATCCAGTCTGCTGTCAAACCAACTCTTTTGATTTGAACGCAGCTCAGTCTGAGACTCAGTCAAACCAGTTAGACTGCTTACACACACACACACACACACACACACACACACACACACACACACACACACACACACACACAGTAATGAAGGAGAAGCAGTGACGTCTCTTCATTTTATCTGAAGTTGAACTTGAAGCATGAAGCTTTTCTCCACAGAGCTGCTGAGGACAGAAGAGAGCTGCACACTGATGAAGTTCATGGCTAAAAGTTCAGTAAGTGGAGCTCTGATTGGTTGAAATGGTTTCTGTTCACATTGATGGTGAATGTGTGATTGTTTAAAGTCTGTGCTGCTTTCAAACAGCCGTGCTCTCTTTGAATGATGACTCTGTGATGAGGAAGATGAGTTCAGTCTGATCTGGGGTCTGATGTGGTCCACAACAGTCAGGACTTTTATTGATGTAGAGGGGGAGACAGCAGGCGGTCCAGCACTAGGACCCAGCAGGGATCAGACTGACCCCCATCTGTTATTAGATGGTATTTTATTGGAGATGAACAGTTTGTATTTTAATGAAATTCAACAGAAACCATGTGACAACTTTTGCTGGCAGACTTTTAACAGTTTTTAAAGATGTTTTTCTGTGTTAAAGGGGAGCTGAACAGGAGAGAAGCCATTTTGAATGAATGTGTGTTTCTTTGTGTTCTTTAAGTCGGCCTTCACTGTAAAAACAACTAAAATCAAAACTGAAGTTGTGCCAACAAACCAAGCCCTTCTCTCTGCTCCAACTTAACCTTTGATATCTTGTCATCAGTGGTGGAACGCAGGAAAACCAGTTTTCAGGTCTGTGTTTGCTGCCAGCTGCTGGTTTGAGGAGAGGAGGAGTATGGAGAGAATTTTGTTCCTTTATTATTCAATCAAATAGAATAGATTTGAAACCAAAAAAGAGATTTGCGAGCAAAAAAGAGTAAGTGGCAATCAAAAAAAATTTTTTGAGATGGAAACAGAACAGGTTGCAATTGAAAACAAAAAATATGAGAGAACATATTTCTTCAACTTCAATCAAAACTAATGTTTGAAAGTAAAAACATACGACTATTTAGCTTATAAATCAGTCCTCTTTGGTTGAGAGTTAAAAAGTTTTGTTTGCCAATTCAACTGCACTTGATGGGCGGGGCCTACGCTGGTGGACGAGAGAAGAGTTTCTATTGGTTGGTTTGACTGGCTACGTCTTCCGCATTACACCCACTTCTCCCTGTGCTGTGCTGCTTGGAGAAGCCTGTTGCTCTTGAAACGTTTCCCATAAGTAATGAATTGTGCTATATATCGTTGGCTACAGCCTGCTGTACAACGTAGGGCTGTGATTTAAACATTTAGTGTTGCATGGTACTCGCGGTTCCTCTACAACAGTACCAGGGCCAGATTAACACTTCACTGTACCCTGGGCAACAATATTCAAGGGCCCCATTATCACGACCCCAGGATCGCCATAATCTGGCAAAATACAGAATAAATGACAGTAATATACAGTAAATGTAATCAATACTTCAATAACTAACTGTCATCAAGTGCATTTTGATGTACAGATGTGCAAATGCTCATAGAACTACAAACACACCGCTATGTTCTCTTGTCAAGACCACTCACTCACATAGGTTATGAAAACTAAACACATCAGCATCAGTTTAATCTGGCAAAACTGACCCACTACATAGAGAGGGGAAGGAAGTGTCCTCCATTTTCACAAACAAATAATAAGCAACCACTTTCAAAGCATCCAATATTTATCTAACAACACCTACTCCCAACACAAATGTATTGAACTGATAGAGCCATCACAGAGGAAGTCCACAGACAAGACACAAACAAAAATCCATAATCTCCTAGAATCAAGAAGCATTTTGGTCCTCAGCTCATTTTAAGCAGAAATCAGAATTCAACAGGACAATCCAGTTACAGTGCGATATAAACAGTTTGAATCTGCCTGATTTCTCTCAACAACAATAGACAATGGACAGCATTTTCATGGAGCCTGTACCGTACAGGGGCTGCTCGCAGACTCGACGAGCGGTTCAGATGGCGGGCAGACTCGAGACCCATCACCGCTTCCCTCAACGGTCGCACTCGCAGCAGAATCCGGGCCGTCGGTTGAAGATGCCGCCGGGGGCTCTTCGCTCTCGGGGCTGTGAACATTAGCTATCGCAGGCAGTGAAGAAGTGTCCTGGCTAGCTGAGCTGTCCTCGTTGACGGATGCTGCCTCAGCAGAACAGCTGCTAACGTTTACTAGCGTGAAGAAACTCCCTACTTTCAGTATATATTTTACATTTTCGGCGTTCCTGATATCATTTTCCTCCCACTTAGCTTCTCCATGTTTGCACTTTTTGAGTTGTGTTGTGTAGCGGCGCTTGACGTCACGCGACCTGCTCAGTGCACGTTGATTGGTCACCTTGACCTTTCTCATACGGGCTGACCAATGAGGAGAGGGTCTCAGCTCACGGTCACAGTCACAGGCAGCCAGGGGCAGAGATTGTGTGCAGTGCAATGGCTCCTGCGGACAGTTTAACATATAAGCGAGATATAACCAGATATTTTTCTTGTGCCCTCACTG